TGTTTCATGATTTTCAGTGATTTTAATCACTTATTTCTTCTCAGGTGCAAGACCAAAAAATCCCATTTTTGTCTTAATATTTAAGTTTGACCTTCTTTTCCATTCTATTAAATTTTGGTGATGGAGAACGAGCTACTTTGTAGTTTTATTCATGTTTAAAAAATCTGCTTCCAAAAGCGAGTTTGTTGGTTAAAATGCAGGTAATTTTATAACACTGAAGTTGGCTATCTCAATAGTTTTGCAAAAATCTACTTGCATTTTAACCAAGAAATTCGTTTTTTCAGCAGATTTTTTAAACTGAAAAGTAATTTGTTTTCCATCACCAAAATTTAATAGAATGGAAAAGAAGATCAAACTTTAATATTAAGACAAAAATGGGATTTTTTGGTCTTGCACCTGAGAAGAAATAAGTGATTAAAATCACTGAAAATCATGAAACACTTAATATTAAACGTAAAATTTTTTATATTTCTATATTATAAAATTAAAAAGTTAGCACATATTATGAAAGTATATTAAAAATACTTTACATTAAATAGTAATAAATTTATTAATATTTATAAACTTTTTAGAAAAGAGTAAATAAAGTGTAGTGACTTTTGACATTTCATAGGTAAATTTTAAAATCAATTTTTATCTATTATTTTAGGTATGTTTACATAATAATCTATTTCCCAGTAAAAAAAAACTAATTCAAATGAATTGAAACGAATTAACATTTTTGGTAGGCTCCAATTCGTATTTGTCACAAAGCGGGATTCACTCAAGCTCTTTGTATATTCAATTGAATTTAATTCAATATGTACCAATTTGTCCAAACGAATTCGCATTCGAAAGAAATGGCCAAGGAATGCATTGAATTCGTGCTAACGAATTGAAAAAAATTAAAGGCTCAAAACTTGTCCAGTGAATTGGTACGGATAGAAGGTTCGGAAGTTCAATACAGTTTCACGAATTCAGGAAAATTGCATCATGGCTCCAATTCGTATTTGTCACAAAGCGGGATTCACGAAAGCTCTTTGTGAATTCTTTTTAATTCATTTCAATTAGTTTTCGTTTACTGGGTTATACAAGTAAATTAGCTCATTTTTAACAAATATTAATCAAGAAATTTGTATTATCTAAATTATTTCCATGCTTTTTTATTAAATTTTCATAACTGTCAATCTAACCTTTTTACTGTGCAACTCAACTTAAAAATAAAAATTCTAAGTTTAATTCAAAAAATTTTATAAAAGAATTCTCAGAAATGAATTCTATGGATATTAAACATCATTTTTACAAATTATGAGATTTTTTTAAAAATAGGCCGCAATGGCTTCAGGTGAAATATAATGGACTGACCCAAACATATTTATATTTTACTTTGCATTTATATACCTTGGAATTAATTTAAACTTATGAAATAAATATTTGACGCAGGGGGGACGCGAACACCTGAACCTAACGAATACGCACTTTGAAACCCGGAACGATAACCACTACACTAAACACGACTTGGTATTTTAATTTTTTAATAGACACTAGATCTTCGAGTCAAAATACAATACTTAAGCAGATGATGTTTAATACATTTCAAGTACATAATTTTATACACTTGTCAAAAACTATTTATTTTTAATTATTTATGCCATTTAAATGAAAATAAATTTAAATACACAAATTATTGCAAAGGTAAATTTTCAAACACACTGCGCGATTAAAATAGTAAAAATGTTGTCACCACGTGCGTAAAAATTTCGACGATTTATATTGAAACCTAACCAAAAAAGTCTGAAAGAATTGACTAATCCCTACTAAAAATAAAATCAGGAATGGTCAGACAAATGGTCAGGCCGCCTGACCACTTTAATCCAGTTTTCTTACGATTCTGGATGGATCTCGTCAGAAATCTATCACAACTGATCAGGAGGAAGTTTAAAGTGGTCACAAGTTTGCTTCTATCCTTTCCTCTTTGTTGACCCCGCCCATAATTGGTGACTATTTGAGACCATTTGTATCTCATTTTTGACCATATTTTTAAGCCACTTCTGTTTTATTTATTTAAACAATATGCAAAAAGTTGCAACAAATTAATTTTAAAAAATATATTTTATTAATTAATATCAGTTTGTTTACATACGGAACAACTTGAAACTAATTCCCGGAATTAAATTAAAATTTGGACCCTACGGGGATCGAACCCCGACGCATGACCTAACCTAGTGCCTAAACTAACTGCCCTAACGACTGCGACTACCGAACCGACTTACATATTTCTGGATTCAACTGTCTATATAAAGAGCAACTGTAAAATAGTAAAATTCAATTACCAATATTATCAATAAATCAGAATAAACTGTTAAATAATTTTTATTAATTAATTATATTTCAATTTAGTCATAATAGGTTATGTGAATTAATAAAAATTAACATTATTAATTGAATCAATAATAAATTAAGTCTTAACTTTACAATTTGGAATGTTTCATAAACTATAATACGAATACAGATTAATAATAATTATTATTATATCTGCATTTAAAATGAATTTAGTATTTAATATTAATTTAATTAAACATTATAATTTATAATAATAATGAATTATTAATGCAATATTGAAATTTTTATAAATTTAATATTTAAATTATTAATAATCATTATAGTAAGAAATTATTCTATTAATGATTAATAATAATTTAAATATAACTGTATTTCAATTATAATGCAAATACTTCTCATAATAAGTACTGACTGGTATAGTAAATTACTAATATTATGAAACAAAATTTATTATTAATGAACTATATTAAATAATTACAAGTAAATATACATTTATCAAATTAATATATTATAAATATACATTAAATAAATATATTAAATAATGTTAAAAGAATGGTCCGAATGTTTTGATTTATTTACCTACATTTGCTGTATAATTAATTCAATAATTATACCAATTTGAAAAATGAGAACTTTTGTTAAGTTAAAAGAACAATTTTTATAATAGAATAATGTATTCTGAAATGTAAAAAATAAATTTGAAAGATTTTATATGTATATATAAATTTTCATGAGACTTTACCAAAATTAGAAAGATGTACCAAAATTTTTATAGGTTATGTGTTCACACATTTCAGAAATAGTCAAGAATTTCAGAAATGGTCAGGAATTTCAGAAATGGCCACAGCTTCGAAAATGGTGGGAGTAAAGTGGGAGGAGCTTGGAAAGTATTTGGTTAGGAATGGTGAGAAACGTTCGAAAACGTCAGAAGTGGTGAGACTGTTCAGGAATGTTCAGAAATTCTGACCATTCCTGACGATTCCTGATTTTATTTTTAGTAGGGATATAATTAAATAGTTTACTTTCTAAAACATGGACTATCTATATTTCCAGAGGTTCTGAGAAACCAGCAATTTTGATGTATGTAAGAACTCCATTTTATGTACAAAAAATAGACGCGAGTAATGATAAAAAATCGTTTTACGAAATCACGATAAATGACGCGAAAGATATAGAGGTAAACACTGTCAGAACAGAAGCAGACGCGTGCGCATTATGGAAATAGGCAAAATTACTAAAATCCTAGTCAATTTGACTAGGATTTGCAGGGTTGTTTTTGCCAGGCTTGAATTTGTTAAATCAACCTAGCGATACTAACCATAATGATTAGGAATCCTTATTACTTTTAGTAGATTAAGATTAACTATAGGGTCATAGTTAATAATACCATCGAGATTTTTTTCGGTGTAGGATAGATATTAATTTAGCAATAATAGAGGGGTAAATAAGGATTTTATTTAAAAAAATTTAATTGACGAATAAAGTTACAAAATTTGGTCGAAAAATTGAGATTCAATTTTAACATATTTTTTAAAACTTTTAATTACATTATTTGGCTTTAATATAATTTTTAAAATTGTAACGGTCTGTGATGCCTAATTATTTATAACTTTTTTTTATCGTCACTACATCTTAAGGCTCGATTTTAATCATCAGAGCTTCACTTTGATCAGAATCTAAAAAAAAGAAGTCACATATTTTAAGAGGTTAAAATAATGAAATATTTATAGAATTCAATACCATTGTCAAATAATAATTAATAAATTATTACTCTTTCAGGCTTCGCACTCGACAATTACTTTTAAAAAAGTAGCAGAAAGTAGCTTTAAATCTGAAAATAGTAGTAAAAAGTAGCAATCGAAAAATTAAAATTTGACGATTAAAAAAATCTCGTTTTAATCGAATCACAAAAAATTGATTAAGAATAATTTTTTTTTCAATCATTAGAGGATTTAAACTAATGTAATTTGTGAAAATGTACCTTTTAGTGTCAGAAATTTGACAAAAAAAGGAGTAAATAGTATAGATTTTAGTAGATGAGTGCGAAGCCTGCTTTTTTTATATATTACGTTTCAAAAAAAAAAAATTATTTTTTAAAATATTACTGTTTTTAATATAAATACCATTAATTATAAAATAAAAATTGGAATAATTTTTCTAAACTTCCGTAATATTTGAAACTTTATAAGAAGTCTTATCATTTCTAAAAGTATGAACGTGAATTCAGAAAAACTTTTACGTTAGCTAATTTAAAAAATTAATTAAATGAAATTCAAATTAGAAAATAGAATTATATTTAATATTACAATTGTTAATAAATTATATTTTATTTGTCTTCAAGAAAATTTAAGTACTTTCTAAGTTTAAAATAAATGCAATTAATTTATAATTATGAAAGTAAAATTAAGTATAATACAATAAAGAATTCTTAATCTCGTTATTTAATTGAAATACAAACTAATTCTATAAAAATAAAGAGCTTTTGAAAATATCAAAAAATCCAGTGGCGCAATTGATCCGTGGCGCATTTGTCCAGTGGCGCATTTGAGAACTTACCAAATATAATTTTATAAAGGCCGACCTACAATAGATTCGCGAAAATCGTTAACGAACGAGATGCATGATATAGAAAAGGACACAAATATATACATCTGTCCTTTTCTAATTCATATTTTGCGTTCGTTGCGAACCAGGGAGCATTTAGGCCTTATGGAGAGTCCACAATTGGTCAACAATCAATAAAATAATTGTTTACAAGAATGTAACGAGCAAATTTATTTTTTAATGGGTAAATCAAAAATTGTTTTTAAAACGTACTGGTACTAATTAATTAATTAATACCAACTATATTACTATATTAAACTGCCATTAATTATTTATTTCTATAATTTATTTAATTATTTTTGAGGTTAGAATCAACAAAATAGTTTATGCAAATTATGTAAAATTATCAATTGGCAAAAATGGCAAATTGTTTTCTTTATTTATAATGATGTTTTTTTTTACTAATTATAGAGTTGTTAAAAATTTAGTGTTTCTAAATAATAATTTAATAATAAATATTAGTGTTTATGTGACTAATTTGCAAAAATCTAATATTCCTTCTTTTTTTAACAGAAAAATGTTTGCTTTTGTACTATTGAGTATTACTGGAAAATTGTAATGCAAAATATGGATCATTTGAGAATATGCAGACTCTGATCTTCAGGCATATGCGAACGCACATATTGAATCAAGTTTCGAGTACTTATTATTAATGTCATTGAATTTTGGAAATAACGAAGCAAATCGAATTGGTTTTTAAAAGGATTGCACTGCAAATTATCCGATAATGCTTGACAGAAGGCTATTATCGTTATGATTCAATTTATCACCAAGTGAAGTGGAACAATGAATTTAAATCAATTGCCACATTTCAAGAAATGGCCGAAGAAGCATTGAGACTTTACGCACAAACGAAAAATCATCCCAAACAAGACGTAGCAGTTGCACATTATTTGGAAGAAGAATTCATGGAACCACAAGCCGATTGTATTCGAAAATTGGCAGGTCACTACAATGACGACAAAAATATTCTACAAGTTCGCGATGTATTTCTCTTCAATGAATATGATAGACTTTTTTTTATAAAATTCAATTAAGAATTAAATTAATTCACTTCTTGTGATTTTGTCATTTAATATATTTTCGTTACTCTATCAATTATTGTTTTTCAAATTTCGAAAAATTTTAATTAAAATTTATCTTAGAGGATTTAAAAGACAAATATATAAAAAATAGTACGTATTTCATATTATAATGATTAAATGTAAATGTAAAATTAAAAATTATATTTTATTATATTTTCCTTATACAGTAATAATTATGATTATAAATTATAATTATGATTTATTAGATTAGAAAGTAATTTTTAGACAAATTGTTTTGATTTGAAAAAATATTCTAATTCCGAGAATTATAATTAGAATTATTACAATTGAACTTATGTGAAATAAAACTTTATTTTTCTTTGTAATTTAAAATAAATGTGTTTAAATTAAAGATTTGTTTACAATTTATTATTAATTATTTATGTCTAATTTTCTAATTTTAATTTACTAATTTTCAATGAAAGTAATTTGACAAAATTATTACAGACACTCAGTTCGACGTGCATCATTTCCTTGGCGTTTGAATTTCGTTCGCAGTAATTCACCAAGAAAAAATAGACATTGTAACTTTTTTCCACATTCTCGAGTTGTTGCTGTTTATCAGGTGTTGTAAATTTATTATACAGTTTTACCAACGTGAAAATATGCTCTCAATACAGGTCGTATAATGTAATCGGAAAATTAATTGCTGTCAATTAATAATTTTGAACTTTTTAACGATGCGATGAATTTTTTGAGATTTTTCTATCAACGATCTAGTGAGATTATTAATTATTTTCAGAGTATTTGGTGTAGGTAGTTCGTCACTCGCCTATAAACAATCTAATTTAATGTCGAAAATTTCTGAATATGTCTCACCGAGTTCCATCTATATTTGTCGACAATTACTTTGATAGTAAGTCTTGTGTAACTCCTTAAGAATATCCTCAAGCATGTCTATTCGTCTTTTGTGCATTTTCGCCTGTTGCACTTCGTCGTTGTGAAAAATTGCCAAGTCCTTTTATGCTTGCGGTTGATCCTGAATTAATTGGACATAATCCTATGCGTGATTTTCGAGAGAATAATATTGTATTGCACTGACAATCAATTCATTTATTTTGAAGAAAACTATTTTTTCGATGGAAAAATCGAGTATATTTCTTTTGCGATCGTTTAGATATTTTTCTCGGTACTTGTGAATTGTAATTTTTACAAACAATCTTTATCGATTTCGAACTTCTTCTCCTCTTGTTGGTCACATTCGATTTTTAGTAAAAGCGACGTTCCTTCGAGACGATCAGGAGTAAAATTCCATATTTCACACAACAGCGGGAACCATCGATTCTTCTGAGCTTGTAGTTTTCTAATTTTGCCGCTGATTCTTCTTTCTTTTCAACATTAGGCACAATTGCAGTCCAGGTGTTTTGATATTTACTTGTCTAGAAATAAATAAAGATATTTAAAAAGATTTAATTATTTTCAAAAAAAATTGAAAATTAAATTATTTTTAATATTTAGTATTTCAAAAAAAAAATTCGAAATTAAAACAATGTTTTTAAAATTATCGTAAAGAATTCAATTATTTTACAAAATGTAACAAAATTTTTAACAATAATTACAATATTTTAAAAGAAATCAATAAAATCATGTGGAAAAATAAAACAACTATTTTTGAAAAAATTCAATTATTTAGAGACATTTAAATAAAATTTATTGAAAAATTCAATTATTTTCACAAATATAACAATTATCTATCACAATAATTAAAAGTAATAAATTGTTTTCTTGAAAATTCAATAATATTAAAAACAATTTGAAAAAAGAATTCCAACGTAAAACTATTTCGTGGCCCTAAAAAGGGCCGATTTTCTTTTTTAATAATGATGATGGGATAATTACCTGCCGAAATTGTCAAGGTTGAGAGAATAGACGAGATCCATTGCGGTAAAGGTCTTTCTCTTGGCGATACCTTGGATATTATCAGGCAACATTTTTCGATAGCGCTTTTCTCCACCTTTTCCCAATTCACTAATTTTTTTTATTTATCTTTTAATTAACTTTGAGAGAAAAAATCAAAATTATTAGAAAAAATGATGAATTTTCTATTTAAAAAAAAAGAACAACAATTTAGTGATATTGTAAGAAAAACAAAAAAAATATTTATAACATTTTTAAAAATATAATACACAACAATTTTGAATAAAATAGATTAATAGAAAAAATTGAATTTAAATTTATTGTGATAAAAAATATAAACACTAAAAAAAGATAAAATATAAAATTGAATAGAGTTATCGAAACGACTTATGAGGCTCCTGAAAACGGCACTGAAAACAAACAGTTCAGGAACTAATTTTGTTAATAAAAATGTCCCAATTTCCTGTAAGAATAACCGTGGGAAAATTTTCAGCTTTATCATTAAATAGTTTTACTATTGTAAGTTTAACGAATTAATACAAAAGTTGTTGCAAGTTTTCTTCACAAAAAAATTCGTAGGTATTACTTTTTTTTCCTTATTAATGTATAATAATTGTTAAATTTTAGGTACTTAAAACATCTGCAGCTTATTTTAATTTTGTTTGGCGAATGACGCAGTGACTATTATTTTAATATGCGCGACAATCAAAAAGAACAAATTGTAATAGAATCCATTCTTGGAAAAAAAGCGTACATTTTGTTATCAATAATTTACGCACAATTTTGTTAAACGCTAAATGAATAAAACATAAAAACTACAAGCATTTTCATACTATTTTCAATACTATTGAAAAAAGAAAGTTTTTGTCAATAATGTGCCTTTTGTATGAAAATTGCATGTTTTGAAAATTGCTTAATTTCCCCAACTTCTCGAACTTAAGAAACTGATTTGATAATTTAGGTATAATAAAAGTTTTTACTTTGCGCAAGCGTAGCCCTATCCGTGACTTTCCTAAGAAAAAATAAGCGCCAGTATGAAATGAGACAGAGAACTTAAAGAAAGTTTAAGAAAGAAAACTTTGATTTATAGAAATGACTGCAAAAAAATTGAATTTGGATTATAAAAGTGACTTGAAATACACTGTAGATGTTGCAAGATTGTTAGGAATAGTTATGTGTGTGTGGCCAAATGATTTTCAAAAATCCTCCATAGGAGCAATTATAAAATTCATTGTCAATATTAGTGCAGGTTTTCTTATGTCATGTGTCGTAATTTCAAATATTTTGTGTATAGCCTATAAAGCAGAGAGCAATGAAGAAAAATTTGATATTATGGGCCCGACATTTTTTTACGGAATGTCTACCTTGAAGTATTTCTTATTTCTATATCGCGCTGAGGCATTAAAAAAGAGTTTCGAACACTTAGAGGAGGACTGGATGTATGTTGATACTAAAGAAAGGGAGATTATGCTAAAAAATGCTAAATTCGGAAGAATCATGTCAATTTATTTTGCTATTTTTTTATACTCCGGTGGTGCTGGGCATCACTTTATCAAACCTTTCTTATCTGACAGTATTTTAACGGAAATGAATATTAGTGTTAAACCTTTTCCATCTCCTGTGTATGGTGGAATTTTTAATACTGGTTATAGTCCTCTTTATGAATTTACATTTGCAGCTGTAATTATTGCTGACATGTTTATTATTTCTATGGCGCCTTTAACATTTAATATTACAGCAATTTTGTTGATTCACGCATGTGGACAGTTTGAAATTATTAATCTTAATCTCCACGATGTTGTTAGTGGATTGAGTAAAAAGGAAAGTACTGCACAGGAAAGACTTGTTGCTATTATAAAATCTCATATTCGGGTGTTAAGGTATTTTCATTTTAAATTGCAGTTAAATAAATATTCATTTCACAATAAAAAAGTACTACCAGACAATTAACAATTTTTTTGCTTTCAGTTACGTTTCTTATTTAGATAAGGTGTTTTGTGAAATATTTCTTGTCGAAATATTGGGATGTGCCATCAATTTGAGTCTTTTGGGTTATTTCTCAGTGACGGTAAAACACAAATTATTATTAACTAAAAATTTTCTATTTTATTTTATGATAGAACGTCCAAGGGACCATCGATTAAGGCTTTAAATGCGAAAATTCGGCCTTCTAGAAGACCGAAATGGAGTCCAGAAGGCTTGGGCGTTTTATCATTAATGATTTTCATGTAGAAAAGTCAATACATTATTACATTTTCATCAATGATCAATAGAATTGGAAGGCAGGAAATCTTGGTAACTTCATAAATTTCGCAATTCTTCTGAATGTTTTTATTTTCAACATTTTTATATATGCATATTTTGGAGAACTTCTTACAATTCAAGTAAACATAACACTATTATTAAAATAGTAAATTTAAAGTGAAAATTTTCACTAATCACTGAACATAAATATAATTTTTTTTAACATAGGCGGAAAAAGTTGGAAATACTGGATATATGATAGAATGGCATAAACTGCCAAGAAATATTTCTTTGGAATTGTCCTTTTTCATTCAAGTTTGTCAATTTCCAATCAGAGTCACAGCTGGAAAAGTCGTTTTTCTGTCTATGACAACGTTTACCGCAGTTAGTTTGTTTTTAAATTTATAATTTCTTTTTATACATTTAATCATAATATTGAAGCAATTACATAAATTCAATAGTCTGGAAAATGTTGCACCGAAACTTGCATCAATATTGCCATTTTCTCAAAATTTCCAATATTCCTGCAAGTTTCAGTGTCTGCAAATTCAAAACTCAATAAAATTGCGTATTAATTAAACACACATAGTGTTATTTAAACACCAAATGTAGTGTTAAAATAACTCTTTTTTTCTATGCAATTTGTTTTTAAAAAACTAATTGTTTACAGTTTTTCAGCAGATATCAAATTGAGACAAAAAAAGAATCAAATAAGTGTTTTGTTTCAGTTTGATATTTTTAGAAATACTGCTATTATTTAGAATTCCTAATGATTTATTATTTTTTTCAGATAATTAAATCAGCCGCAGCCTATTTAAATATTATATGGAAAATGTAACACAGAATTAAGATTTTTAATTCCTTTGGAAAAAATTGTTTAAAACTTTTACTGTATATTAAAGATAGTTTTTTCTAAATCACTTAAATATTTGTTCGTTTCTTTTAAAGTTTGATAAAGTTACGTAACTATTGAAAAAACATAACTGTAAAGTTACAATTTTCCTCGAAGTCTAGAATTTTTTATTCTTGTTCTTTGCTTGTCAAACAATTTTAAAATACTATTGTTTTTCTCACATACTTTGAAATTAAAACTTTTATAATTTAATTAGAAATTTAATTTAACGATCACTCCGAGTCAACGAGTATTATAATTTCAATTTTAAAGTATAATATATAGAAAAATTATAACAAACACCACCTTTTCAAATTTTTCAAGAAAACTTTTTTTATCAATTAAAAAATCAAAATTGTTAAATATTTACATGTATATTATTGGATGTCATTTTCTAGAATTGATAGACGTCAAGCGATTGTCAAAGATTTTATAAAATACATAGAAAATTAATTAACTAATTTTGTATTAATATTTTGGATATTATATGAGGCATTCCATTTCAAAACAATGTAAGACAATTTTAAAATGAATATTTCTTCCATTCTATAGAACCAAATTACTTTTTATATTAGTGATTTCGAAAGTGGAATTTCTGAATTTTCTGATAAGAAAAAAAAATATTTTTTTAATAATTTAATTTAAATAGAAAATTGAGTTTAAGAGTTAAACTTTGAAAAATCTCAAAACACGTTACCTCCGATTTTAATAAAATTCATATCAAACGAAAGCTTGAATATTCTTATTTTTATTTATCAAACGATAATAATGGACATTTCAGTGGATTTTGAGAAAATAATTAAATTTTACAGACATTTAGAAGGTTTTTATGCATAAATTGGGAAAAACAAATGCCGCCCTGTACTTAATAAATGGTTTTCTCAATATAACCTTTAAAATGTTTGTAAAATTTAATTATTTTCTCAAAATCTACTGAAATGTCCATTATTATCGTTTGATATGAATTTTATTAAAATCGGAGGTAACGTGTTTTGAGATTTTTCAAAGTTTAACTTTTAAACTCAATTTTCTATTTAAATTAAATTATTAAAAAAATATATTTTTTTTCTTATTAGAAAATTCAGAAATTCTACTTTCGAAATCACTAATATAAAAAGTAATTTGGTTCTATAGAATGGAACAAATATTCATTTAAAAATTGTCTTACATTGGCAATTGTTTACGAAGGGGGTCGTTTTGAAATGGAATGCCTCATATACAATATTCAAAATCCAAAACACATTCATATTTTTATTTACAAATATTAATATGGACTCTTATACTCTATCATTAAACTGAAAAAAATGATGGACAATAATTATTGCATTGAATTTCTTTTCAAGCAGGCACAGCGCAAGCGCAACGGAAAGTTGAATCTTTGATGCAAGTAAGTTCAGTATGAAGTGAATTGCAGAAAGAAGAATGTCTATCAAACTTGATGGAAATAGTAATGAATCGTATAGAAAAGATGTAAAATTCACTATAAACCTTTGTCGTATTCTAGCATTAATTCTCGGCTTATGGCCATTTAATTCTCACGATTTTTCATTTAAGAAAGTTATTAAATTTTTTCTAAACATATGTGCCTGTTTCCTCATGGTTTGTGCAATTCTCTCAAATGTTCTGTCCGCCCTCTACGAAATGAAAGAAGTTCGTGAAAAAATTGAAATCGCAGGTCCCACTAATTTCTACATTATGAGCCTTTCGAAGTATTTATTACTTTTATTCCGCGGTCAATCTGTTGCCAAATGTTTTAAATATATCGAAGAAGATTGGCAGATTGCCGCAGATCAAAAGCATCGGGAAGTAATGTTGAAGAATGCGCACTATGGAAGATATTTGACAATTCTTTGCGGTGCATTCATGTATGTGGGAGGATTTGGCTATCATTTGGTTCGACCATTAGTTTCGGAGAGAATAATTACTGATAGGAATATAACAGTAATACCGTATCCTGCGCCGGTTTATGGGAAGATTCTTAATACTGGTTACAGTCCGTATTATGAAATTATTTTCATTACTTTGCTCATTGCTGATTTTGTTCTATTCTCCGCGACTGTTGTTTCATTCAGTTTCGCTGCAGTGTTCACACTTCACGCTTGTGGACAATTTGAAATTGTGATTCTGCATTTGAATAATCTTGTTAATCGAGCGGAGGAGAAGAAAAATGCGGCGCACGAGAGATTAATTGTTGTTGTTAACTCGCATTTACGAGTTTTGAGGTAAAATACAATTTTGTTTGTAAAGAATATATAAATTTTACCATGGAAAAATGAATTTCGTTTATTTCTAGTTTTGTTTCTCAGTTGGAGTCATTGTTGAATAAAATATGCCTTATCGAAGTGATGGGATGTTCGGTTAATATGTGCTTGGTCGGCTATTATATAATAGAGGTGGAGTGAAGAAAATACTGTTAAAAAAAATTAATTTTTTTGCCACAACAATTTCTGTTAACTTAATAATTTTTTCGTTAGAGCTGGAAGCGTGAAGAACTAATTGCCTGTTTTTCTTATGCGGTCATTCTCACTTCGTTTACTTTTAATATTTTCATCTATTGCTATCTGGGAGAACTGTTAACTAATCAGGTATAAATTTCTTAGAGTTTGAAAATAAAAAGTTTCAAGAGAATAAGAATTTTACAATTACAGGCCATGAAACTTGGTGAAAATGGATATATGATCGATTGGCATCAGCTACCAAAAAGTACATCATTGGATTTGCTATTTTTCATTCGAGTCTGTCAATTTCCAGCAAAAATTTCAGCTGGAAAAATCGTAATACTTTCCATGTCCACATTCAGCACGGTATGATAATTTTTTATTTTTAAAATAGTCTAGAAAAATAGTTTCCTCTCTTTTAATTTTACTGTCAAGTTTTTACTGCAGAACAATCAGTAACGAACTTCTAACTATCTAAACACTGTTAACTTAAAAGTATCAAATTGTACTGAATTGATATCAATAAAACATGGATCAAATAAAAAATTGATCCACATTTTTAGCATCAATACATCATACTTTAGTATCAATTTAATACTTTCAAGAAACCTGTGAATCAGTGAAATTTTACTGATTTTCTGCCATTTTTATTGAAAATCGGTAAATTTTTACCTGATTCAGGTTAGTTACTGATTGGTGTATAGTAAAAGATTTACTAATTCAACTAAAGAGGGCTTTTTTCAGTGGATAAAAATTAAATAAGTTTATTGCATTTCAGGTGATTAGATCCTCGGCAGCGTATTTTAATGCCCTCTGGAAAATGTCTCAATAATTTTTTGAATAAGATGAAAAAAAATATATTTATTCGTTACAGAAAGAAAAGAAGAAAAAAGAATTTTACTTTTAAGGCAACTATCTATTGATAATGAAAGTTTGAAACAACTTTTAAATACCTAGTTTTTGATGGGGAAACTTTCATTCTTTGCCTAACAATTTTCAAATAGGAAACTTGCAATTACTTTTCAAGCGATGTTTATGTAAAAAGTATAAATACAATTTACTGTATAAAATGTTGCACATGTCATATTCGTTAAATAAGCAGCATATTAGGAACTTGGAAATATTAGAAATAAACATAAAAATTAATTAATTAATAAAATGTAAAATGTAAAATAACGTACAAATATACAGCAATGTTATTTTTCGATTAATCAGTATTAAATTTCATTGCATATATTGTGAAAGCTAGTGTCTGATGTTTACAGATCGTAAGATATTACGCAAGCGCAAAAAGTTTGTGCTTTCTTTCAAAGGAAAATGTTCAGTATGAATTGAGAAAGAAAGAAAGAAAGAAGGAACAATGGTTCTCAAAGAATCTATAGATTTTAATTCCGACATGGAAAGTGAAACTTTAAGAACTATTGCCATAACTTTGGGACTGTGGCCAACATCTTCTCTCGATTCTCTCACCAAGAAGCTTGTTAAACGATTCATAAATATATTGGCATGCTGCCTTATGACATTTGTCATCGTCTCCAATATTCTGTGTGGTATTTTTGAAATTACCAATATGGATCAAAGGGTAGAACTTGTTGGCGCCACTAATTTTTACCTCATGAGTCTAACCAAATATCTACTTCTTTTATTTCGAGGAAAGAGTATTGAGAAATGTTTGAAATTCATCAGGGAAGATTGGCAACTGATAAAGTCATCATTGCAACGAGAAGTTATGGTGAATTATGCACAATTTGGAAGACAAATGACGATAATTTGTGCGACTTTTGTGTACTTTGGAGGACTTGGCTATCAAGTATTAAAACCTCTGTCGGCTGATAAAATAATTACTGAAATGAATATAAGTATCACGCCATACCCGTCACCAGTCTATGGGAAAAAATTAACTAACGGACTCAGCCCTATTTATGAAATTCTTTATGGAACGCTAATTGTTGCTGATTTTTATTTGTTCTCCTCAACTGTTGCCACATTCAGCATTGCGGCAGTTTTCACAGTGCACGCTTGTGGACAGTTTGAAATTATCTTTCTCTATTTGAATGATCTTGTTAATAAATCAGACGAAAAAACAGGTACAGCACAAGAAAGGTTAATTGTTATCGTAAACTCTCATTTGAGAGTTCTGAGGTAAATTTATTTTCTTCTTTTGATAACTGAATTTAAAAAAAATTATTCATGTTCAAAGTACATTTTTTTTGGGAAAAGAGTGCTTACATTTATTTTAGCTTTGTTTCTCAGTTGGAAGCTTTATTGAATGAAATATGTTTCCTTGAAGTTTTGGATTGTTCCCTTAATTTATGCTTACTGGGGTATTGTCTAATTACGGTAAATACTATTTCGCATAATAATATAGACAATACAAGACAATACAAGGCAATAATATAAAAATTTGTTTAAAAACGAAATAAAATTTAAGAACAAAATTTAACTAATAAAGATTTTTTATGTAATAAATATTTCCCTACTAAATAAATTTATTTAGCATGAAAATATAATAATATGATTAGGGATTATCCATAAACCACGTAGCCTCTTGAGGGGGAGGGGAGGGGGTCACGCAATTGACTACGACAAGAGGAAAAAATGGCGCTAATACATGTAATAGCGTACTACATGGGGGAGGGGGGGGGTCAAAATTCCCAAAAAATGGGGCTACGTGGTTTATGGACGGCCCCTTATAAAACAAATATGTACATAAATAAAATAAACGAAATTTTCCATTTTTATTTAAATGAAAGCAGTATAAGTATAATTTATTATTTTAAACTTATTTAGCTTTACAGAAATTACTTTTTTCTTTTTTTAGAGCTGGAAGGCTGGTCAATATACTGCATTTATTTCTTACTTTATTTTACTTGTTTCGTTTATATTCATCATGTATATTTATTGTTATTTAGGACAACTGCTTACTACTCAGGTATTTTGCTATTAAAATAATTTTCTGTAAACAGTAAAACCTTTAAAAAAACTAAAAATTTTGCAATTTAACATAGGCTGAAAAAATCGGACAACAAGGATATATGATATCATGGCATCATCTTCCAAAAAGGGTACTATTAGATCTTCTTTTCTTTATTCATGTTTGTCAGTTCCCTACAACAATCTCAGCAGGAAAAATTGTTGTTCTTTCAATTGGAACTTTCAGCGCAGTAAGAATTATTAATTAAAAATTTAATGCCATTCATTAATGAATGGTATAGTATTTTTTAATGAAAACTATTATATTAATATTTCTCTACTTTAGGTGATGCGGTCTTCGGCGGCATATTTTAATGCTCTTTGGAAAATGTCAAAATAGGTTTTGCAAAATTATAAAAGAAATGTGTAAATAAATTTCTTCTCCTTATAGAATGAACCATAAAAATTAATTTTCTTCAATTACATAAATATATATCCACCAATATTTACATATTATTTGTTTAATTAATTTATATTAAAAAATTAAAGTTTCCCCTCCATGAAAGACGTAGTAAAAAGGAAAAAAATGTTTTGAAACAACATATTGGAAACTTAACAACTTTTGATTTGATCAATCTAAAATGTGAAATCAATGTAGAAGCAAAGTTTAATATCAATGAAAAAAACTCAAGATTAACAAACTAATAACAACGAATGTAAACTTATTTTTTGCTAAGAAAGAGTAATTTGCGAATACAAAGAAACTTGAGATCATTTTCAAGTTTGACGCAAGCGCAAAGTTTCTGTTTTCTTGCGGGACAATACATCAGTATGAATCTATTCTTGCTTAGAGAAGTATGTTCCTTGAAAATTGCAATAAAGATATCAGTTATGCAATTAATACTTGTCGAGGAATAGCATCAATTTTGGGATTATGGCCAAACCAATACGAAAAATCGGTGTTAAAAAACAATTTTAAATTAATGATAAATTTCACTTGCATTCTTCTCATAAAATTTGTCGTCGTGTCTAGTATCTTGTTTGTAATTTTCGAATTAAAGTCTATAGCTGAAAAAGTTAGTTTAACAGGTCCCACGAGTTTCTATGTTATGGCTTTAATGAAATATTCGATAATATTATATCGAAGCCCATACATAGCGAATTGTTTCAAATATCTGCAAGAAGATTGGCAGTGTATTGAAACTATTGAACAGCGGGAAATAATGTTAAAGCAGGCGAAATTTGGAAGGCTCATTACAATTCTCTGTGCCATTTTCATGTATCTTGGTGGTTTTTGGTATTCCCTTCTAATTCCTGTGACTACTGATCCAATTATCACTCATTATAACATTTCTGTTCAACCTTTTCCTTCCCCTATTTATGGCAAATATTTGACGAGCGGAGTTAGTCCAATTTACCAAATTACATACATAGTAGATCTTCTCGCAATATTTGTCATGTATTCAACGACAGTAGTCACGTTCAGTTTTGCCGCAATTTTAACAATTCACGCATGTGGTCAATTTGAAATTGTAACTATTTATTTAAATGACCTTGTTAATGGATTAGAGAAAGAAAAAACGCCAGATCTGCAAGATAAGTTAATTGTTACTGTCAACTCACATTTGAGAGCGTTAAGGTAAATTTTTTATGCTAATTATTCGGGAGGGCACTGAGAAAAATATCCAAAAATATCAGTTAGTATCGACAAAAAGTTGCTTATCATCAAAATATAGAACAATATTTTTATTATATTTTATACTAGAATTATTTTTCTCAGTGAACTGCTTTTTGCCTTGTCAAACGTTTTATAATAATTTCAGTTTTGTTTCTCAATTGGACTCTGCTTTTAACGAAATATGCTTCATTGAAATCCTTGGCTGCACTCTCAATATTTGTTTACTTGGTTATTATACTATCATGGTATAAAGACTGTATCTAAAGCTAAACCCAGAAAAAAGTAATCTCATGTTTTAAAAGTAAAAAAATACCCCTTCTAATATTCTCTCAATTTAAAAATGTCTTAAAATAAAATAATTAATGTAAGTAATTAATTATTAACCACATTTATTTAATCAAAAACATTTAATATATAGAGCATGAAAAGAGCTTTCGTTATCGCAGTTCATAACCATAATTATCAAATAATATGCAGGAGTAAAATCCTCTTAACCCCTTAACTGTTTGAGGAAAATACAACATAATTGTCCCAAAATGCCCAGCGGAATCTGATACTTTTTCAAATAGTATAATATATTTAAATTATAACTAATTACTCAATTATTTTCTAAAATATCATTAATGACCCTTATAATTTCTTATAATATTGATATAAAGAAAAATATCTATCAATTTATATACAAATTATATTTATTTTGAGTGATAGTGAACACGACCCATGGGTGGGTCGGAAACAGTTATGGCCATACTTTCTCACGACCCACCCGTGGGTGGGTCGGAAACAGGCAACGGGTTAAATAAATTTTACTTTCCATACCATAAATAAGAGGAAAAATTCATTAAATTTAGAGAAATTTGCTCTAATGATGATTACTTTTTCAAGGTTTACACTATTTTAAAATATATAAAGATCTCTCTAAATTAAAATTAGTAAAAATGTTTATTAATTCCAATTATAGTAACTGGCTTTTTGACAATAAATAGTATTATTTTACTAATAAATAGTAATTTCTACTAATTGTTTAGTAAAATTTACTAATTCAAAATCAAAAAGTCAATCACTAATTCAAATTATTAAACATTTGATTTTTACTAATTAAAGCTTTTCGTTTGAAATCAAATTTATTATGCAAAATATATGACTTTTAACAGGGTTGGCGAAATAAAGAAGAATTTACGGCCATCATATCTTACATAATTCTACTTTCTTCTTTTATTTTTAATATTTTTATATATTGCTTAATTGGTGAAATATTAACTATGCAGGTGTGTTTTTCAATTTTTTTATTTAATGCTGTCCCAGAAATTTTTCCTACTTCATAATGTTTAATTAAAAAAAATTTGATTTATTTGCAGGCTACAAAAGTTGGAGAAAAGAGTTACATGATTGATTGGTACCTATTACCGAAGAAAACATTGAAAGATTTACTATTTTTTCTCAAAGTTTCTCAATATCCGCCAAAAATTTCAGCCGGGAAAATTTTTATATTATCCTTGGGAACCTTTAGCACGGTACATATTTTTGAATGCATTTTTAACAATGATTAATTTTATTTCTGTTATGAATTGTAATTATTTATATTTTCATTAAAGGTACTCAAATCTTCCACAGCTTATTTGAATGCTCTTTGGAAAATGTCCCAGTAACGACTTTCAATGAGATGAAATGGAAATTTTATACTTTTACTCGAGGAGGGGGATTTATTTATTAAAATTTATTAAATTAAAGTAAATACAAATGAAACATTTCAGTAAGTGCCTTCTCCCATATTTGATGTAAATTTTAAGAATCTGTATAGTAACAACACTTCCAAATAAAGAAATATTTTTATTCTACAATAATTTTTGAATAAACGAAAATATCTCATGTTATGCACAAAAAAATTTAAATTTGTAAACCGATATTTCTGACTCTCTCTGAAAAAAGGTACCTAAGAAGCTGAAAATTTTAGTTTGTAATTGGAGTATATTTGTTATAAAAAAATTTCAGTTTTTCTAAGGATATCAAATTGAGACAAAAAATGTATCGAAATAGTTACGATGCAACACTTTTGATACTTTTTTTTGTCTTAATTTGATATCCTTAGAAACAGATATTAAATAAAAAAATAAAAAACAATGTAGCTTAATCTTTTCATTAATCTGAATTGTAAAATCAATCAAGTCTATAAAAGAAAGTTTGATGTATCAAAGAAAGAAAAAACAAGTTTCGCATAGAATTAAAAAAAATCTGAAACTTATTTGTTGATAAGAAGAGAGCAATTTATAATTTGTAAGTGAGTAAAACTTTAAGAGTGGAAGATAAAAAACATTTTCAAGTTTCACGCAAGCGCAAAGTTTCTGTTTTCTTGCGGGACAGTTATCAGTATGAATCTATTCTTGCTTAGAGAAGTATGTCCCTTGAAAATTGCAATAAAGATATCAGTTACGCAATTAATACTTGTCGAGGAATAGCATCAATTTTGGGACTATGGCCAAACCAATACGAAAAATCGGTGTTAAAAAGAAGTTTTAAATTTATGATGAATGTGACATCATTACTACTTATGACATTTATTATTGTGTCTTGCATCTTGTTTGCGATTTTTGAATTGAAAGATATATCTGAAAAAGTAATGTTAACAGGTCCCACGAGTTTTTACGTTATGGCTTTAATGAAATATTCTGTATTATTAATGCGAAGTCGTGACATTGAAAACTGTTTCAAGTTTATTGAAAAAGATTGGCAATGTGCTGAGAGTATCGAGCAGCGGGAAATAATGTTAAAACACGCGAAATTTGGAAGAGTCATCACAATTCTCTGTGCAATTTTCATGTATCTTGGCGGTTTTTGGTATTCTGTTTTGAGTCCTTTAACAACTGAGCCAATTGTCACTCATTGCAATATTTCTGTTCAACCTTTTCCATCCCCAATTTCTGGCAAATATTTAACCTGCGGTCTTAGTCCAATTTACGAAATTCTTTATGCTTTGATTCTTTTTTCTGTTTTTATAATGTATTCAATTGCTGTTGTGACATTTGGCTTTGCTGCAGTTTTGACAATTCATGCATGCGGGCAATTTGAGATCGTAATTATTTATTTAAACGATCTGGTTAGTGGATTGGAGAAAGAAAAAAATCCTGATCTACACGAAAAATTGATTGTTACTGTGAATTTTCATTTGAGAGTATTAAGGTAAATTGTAAGATTGTTAAGAAGAATCACTGAGAAAAGTGTTTAGTGTCAGTGCAAATAAAATTTTTCCTTCTTCTTGAATAAAGAAAGAAAGGAAGTTAGGTTTTAAAATGGACACTAACATTTTTCTCAGTGTATGATTTTTTGTTTTGTTTAAACGTTCAGAAAACTTCTAGTTTTGTGTCTCGACTGGAATCAGCTTTAAACGAAATATGCTTTATTGAATTCCTTGGCTCCACGCTTAATATTTGCCTTCTCGGATATTATACAATTATGGTATAAAACTTTAACATTTTCTATATATGGTAAAAGTTTATTCTACAGAAGCTCTTTTAACCTAACTCTTAATTTATCACTATACAAAAATATCTTTCAATAGGGATGGAAAAATGAAGAATTTACAGCCATTATAACATTCTCCACACTTCTTGCTTCCTTTCTTTTTAATATTTTTATATATTGCTTAATTGGTGAATTTTTGACCATGCAGGTGTGTAATTTTTTTCTCTTTCTTAAACTGCTTCACACCTTGCTAAAAAAACTATTTACAGGCTACGAAAGTCGGAGAGAAGGGTTATATGATTGATTGGTATCTCCTGCCCAAGAGAACATTAAAAGATTTATTGTTTTTTATTAGAGTTTCTCAATTTCCGCCAAAAATTTCAGGTGGAAAAATTTTTATATTATCCTTGGGAACCTTTAGCACGGTACATATTTTTGAATGCATTTTTAACAATGATTAATTTTATTTCTGTTATGAATTGTAATTATTTATATTTTCATTACAGGTACTCAAATCTTCTTCAGCTTATTTAAATGCTCTTTGGAAAATGTCACAGTGACATTTCAGAAGATCAGTTAAAAATAATTGTACTTATTTAAGTTCAGAGAGATAGTACAATAATTTCAAAATGCCGCAAATTTTTTTCAAGAATTTATTTACGAGTAAGTGTTCCCCCAAACTGGTTTTAAGAAGAAATAAATGTATCGTAAATAATACTTTGAAAATAAAGAAATATTTTTAACGTTGACATTTTATGAGTTAATCTGCTACGAGCAATAGACGAGGGCTAATTGAAGATGCAAACGTTTAATGCACAAAAAAATAAAATAAAAGATAAAAATATTGTATCATACTGAACTGTTTATTTAGTGATACAGAACAGGAAAAAATAGTACGGTTCGTCAAGCATACCAACAATTTTATACTTTTCCCAAAAAAATGTCCAAAACTGTAAAATAGGCATTATTGGAAAAACTTGAAAGCCAAAATACTTCACGGAAAAACCTTTAAGCAGTCTGCTCACCCGAAACTTATGCGTCAGCGCCACCACTAAACTTGTTCATCTGCACTCCCAAACTGGGTGACCAACGTACCCAGTTGTAATTTTCTAAACTTTTTGGGAAGTTTGTCTATCGAAAACGGTAATGCTACGCACCCAGTGGCGGGCGATCAGACTTTCCATGCAGTGAGAAGCGAAATTTTGTGACAGTGGGAAGGCAGACTTCTCAAAGGTTTTTCCGTGTTGATGAAGACCGCGCTAATTTTTAAAAAATGTATTAATTATTTGTTTATTTAGTAATGCAGAATAGGAAGAAAATAGTTTGAATTTTCGGAAAAGCTCATAATTTTTATTTTTTTTCAAAAAACTATTCAAAACTCTAAAATAAGCTCCTTTTATAAAAATTCAATACCAAAAAGTTTCATCAAGAACACGCTAAATTTCAAAAAAGTGTATTAATAAATTATTTATAATTATTATACAGAATAGTAAGAAAATAGTATGAATTTTCTGAAACAAAGGCTAGTGATAAAAAATAACATGAATTTGAAGCTAAAATAGTAAAATAAATCTTAAATATTATTAAAAATAGTGAAATTAGCAAAAATTTCTTTTCTTGCACAGAAAAATTGTATTATACTAAAAATTTATTTAATTCTGTAAATTATAAGAATAGTCTTTCAACCTCTATAAATATCTATCAACATTTCCCCATCATCTGATAACTGTAAAATCAGAAAAAAACCAGTAAAAAAAATTAACTAATTCTGTCTGTCTGTCTGTCTGTATTATACCCTAAGAGATTGAAAGCACAATAACTGCATATTTTAATTACTTTTGGAAACTTGAACGCAAGCGCACAAAACTTTCCAAGAGAGTTTTCTGTCTAAAGCTTCAGTATGATTCTGTAAGCGAAGTAATAATGTTTCGCAAATCTAATCGAGACTCAGTACGATTGTATGAAAGTGATTATGCTATTAATTCTTGCAAACCAATAGCCTTAATTGTTGGTCTTTGGCCAATTCATTTTCAAAATTCTCCGTCTGGAAAAGTCATTAGTATAATTTTAAATTTCGCCGCAATTTTATTCATGATGTTTCGCTTCACATCGAATATTCTCTATGGGATGTTTGAACTAAAAAGCCTAGCTCAAAAAGCACAAATGGCAGGTCCTGCATGCTTTCAAATAATGAATATTTCTAAATATTTACTAATTTTAATTAGAGGTGAAAAAATTGAGAAATGCTTTAAAGTTCTCGAGGAAGATTGGTGTCGGATTGAAAATGACGAACAACGTGATGTGATGATGAAGAATGCGCATTTTGGAAGATATATCACTGTCATTTGTACTATTTTTATTTATCTTGGAGGGTTTGGGTACAATGTGCTAATACCGTTGATGAGCGGTTCAATAATTACTCATCTGAATATTTCCGTTAAACCTTTTCCTTCTCCAGTTTATGGGAAATTTTTGAAGAGTGGTATCAGTCCTATTTATGAAATTGTTTTTGGTTCGCAAATTTTATCAGCTTTCTTCTTATACAGTGTAACGCCTGTGGCTTTTAGTTTCGTTGCGGTACTGACAATGCACGCGTGTGGTCAATTTGAAATAGTCACCCTCTATTTGAATAATCTTTACAATAAGTTTCAAGATGAAAAGAATAGTGTACATGAAAAATTTATTATTCTTGTAAACTCACATTTGCGTGTTTTGAGGTAAATTTTTTTTAAAGCAATTTTATTTCACTTTTCTATTTTTTTACTTGATGCCAGTAACATAACATTTTTTAGTTTTGTTGCTAAATTAGAAGCTGTATTCACAGAAATATGTTTCATCGAAATAATGGGTTGCTCAATCGACTTGTGTATGTTGGGATATTATTTAATAATGGTATACTGTTTATTGTAATGCTTACAGAGTTTTTCTGCAGATATCAAATTGAGACAAAAATGTATTAAAACGTTGCTTGCACCAATTTTGATACTCGTTTTGTCTCAATTTGATACCCTTTGAAAAACTGTGTAAATAAGTATAAACATTTTTTAGTGTGCAAAACAGTCCAACTACTCCAACTTAATAACGTTCAGCTTCCTTTTCGCATCGTTTCTTTTCAACATTTTTATTTACTGTTATATCGGGGAATTGCTTACACACCAGGTAATTGCTTACCTCTAATTTATACTACTTTAATATACGTTTTAATGGAAGAATATTAAAAATAGCGATGAATTTTAATGAAAACAGGCTAAAAAAGTTGGAGAAACGAGTTACATGATCGATTGGCATCTTCTTCCAAAGAGAACATCGAAAGATCTCCTCTTTTTTCTTCGATGTGCACAATCTTCAACTAAAATAAAAGCTGGAAAAGTAATTACCCTCTCATTTTCAACGTTTGGATCAGTAAGTCACTTTTTATGCATATAAGCATCTAAAAATTTAATATTTTCCAGTACTTTTAAAAAAAATCCCCGACCTGTGACAACCCTGCTGACGGCTTCTTCATTTACAATAACTGGGTTTCACGCATTTAAAATTTTTTGAGGATCTCAAATTGAAATCAAAGAATTTTTTGTTTCACTTAAATCTTTTACTATAGATGAGATAAGTACCTAAGGCAAGAAAGCTGAAAAGTTTTGTCTGACTCTGACATTCCGTTGCTACTTACCGACGCTACGGTTACAATTATTTGGAAATTAATACACATGCTTTGTTTGCTTTAAGACTAATATTTATTTTGTATAATTTCAGGTCATTAGATCGGCTGGTGCATATTGTAACGCTCTTTGGAATATGACCAAATAAAATGTGTTAAATTGAAAATCGATAGAGTCATAAGTAATTAACTGTGTATATAAATGTAAATAAATACGCAACTTTAAAGTTTGAACATGACCAATCCGCCATATTGTAACCGCCATTTTGATTTTTTTTTGTAAATTAAGAAGAAAGTGCTAGAAAAGTTTCACAAGTTCAAAACTAGTTTGAATTTAGAAATAGAAATTCGATAGTTTATGGACAAAGAATGTTTCTGTTACCATTAGCTGATGATTTTTAATCTTTTCAAAAACACAATTCGATATGAACCCCTTACCGACATTTTGAAAGTAAATGGTTGAAAGGAGGTCCGTGAGATAGCGCCTCGCGATAGATAAGAAATACTCGCAGTATGCAGTAAGCTGGAGGCATGCGCCCATTTGCCAGTCTGTGCATGGCGGTCCGAGACCATCGAGGTAACTTTGGTGGGTGAGTGTAACGCGAGTTACACTAAATCGTTAATTGACGTGTGATCCTTGAAATATTACGTTATTGCTTTTCTGTTCATTACTGACTACATCCTTTGGAACACGCGCCGAGTGAGTAACTATGTATACTTTACATACACGCCCGATCTTCTCTTTTCTTCAATTCTACATATATACACATACTTTTACAACCTTCAAAAATCCAGTTTAATTCTCATAAATCTTCTGATCCTTACGCATCCTTATTTACAGTAGTCAGCATCTTAACTCTCAATAATCTCAACTGCAACTTTTCAGACTATTTTTAAACAAAATGCACCAACAATATATAATCTCATAGCATTTATGGTGAAAAAATAAGCTTTGCTACAAATGTACCTACATAAATTTTAAATAGCGTTTAAATTGGCACAAACATATCAGGACTCGAGACAAAATGTCGGAGATACAAGACAATTCCTTACAAGTCTTAAAAAGTAATAGTTCTTTTCAGACTACTTGTAAAGATATACTATTTTTTATATGATTGTAAAACGTTAGAAAAATATTCAAGTTGTTAGATATCTCGAAAGATTTTTAAGCAATTTAAATTTTCTGTCAAACATACAATTTAAGATCATCACTTTAGCATTCTAATGATGGATCTTCAATTTTCATATAATTTATTTCTTCGCGATGGCTTGTTGAACGAGCCTTATTCTATTAAAACATGGTAATTTTCTTCTGACGATAGTTTCATGTAAACTTTTATTTCTTCTATCGATATTACATTATCAGGAAACTGAGGAAAGTAAAATGATAGTTTCACTATATTCGAAAATATTGTAAGTGAAGTTCAAAGCAAAAGCTACCTACTTAAAAAGTTAATAATTAAGTGATGTACTTAACCGATTTTGTGTCTATATTAGGTCACTATTTCGACGTAAAAAAAGAGGCACAAACGTCTTGTCATCAGCTTAAATGTTTTGACATCTTAATCCCCGCAACAGTGTATAGTGGAACCGACCCATAATCGTATACGCTAGCATATAATACTAAATTAGATGCTTCAATTTTTCTTGTTTACAATCATTCTATTTTTTTAACTATACAAATTTTAATTTAATTTATTTTTTAACCAGAATTTGTATTTCAGAAAATTATATTTTGTTAGTTGCTTTTTTTCTGTAAATCGGTTTCTTTTGACGCAACTATTTGATGGAAACGCGGATGTTTTGGCCATTGGTTCATTGATTTCCCATTTGAATGATCGCAATTCGCTGTATAGACGAACGAGGGGAGTTTCAAAATGTTCGACATTCATTTCCGGTCGGATGTTTCACAGTACTGTCGTTTACTACTCTCTGATCTCATTCTGTACTTTATTATGTCCAAATAATTAATATTTTAATTTACGCTCTTCAATACAATGTATTGTAAATTCATATTAAAAACATTTTAATTATTCAGTACTTAATAAGTAAATTATTATTTGTTTAAAATTCCTAAACGTAATATTTTATTTCTTCTAATGAGTTTTTATCTTATTATAATTTTAAAGAGTACAAAGCAAGACATAATAAAAAGGAAATCTTACTTTAAGATTAGTCTTAAATTAGTCATAGTTAGAGTTAGAAAAAAAGCAATTCACATTCTTTAAAGAATGCATAAAAAAATAAATATTTATTCAAAAATAATTTTCTTGTCGATAATTGTATGAAAGCAGGCAAGTTGCAATATTCGATGAATCGTGAATGTTTCGCTGTCAGCGAATCGTTTTAACGCCTTTATTGAATTTATCTCGATGTCAATTGCTCTGGTCGTTATCGCCATTTTCTTCATGTCCATCGATTACTCTTAATCGTTGCAGTTGTTTTATACTTTACTTTTATTAACCAACTAGTCTACCCAAGGCTCTATTAACGACGTCGACTAAAAATCATGAAAATAAGTCTGCTCACTACATGCGTTCATAAATGTCAAAGCAGATATTTTTCTGCTTTCAAAAAATATTAAAGCTTTTAATAAAATGAAAACTTTTTTTTAAATTCACCAATGTAAGATTAAGAATATAAGTATAATTCCACCTTATTGAAACTGCTGACGTTGATTTACTTTTCGAACGAATAGCTTATCCTGTATCTTTCTTATCAGGACAAAGAGTACAACGAGAACTGAAACACAAACTTACTTTTCTTTTTTGATAGTGCAGAGTACGTTTAATCTATAAAGTTTTATTTTTATAAACGTGAGGAATAAAATTCTGAAAACGAATAAATAAAAGCACAATAAAAGCTAGGTAGCTTTTTATATAGGTTGTTTATAGTGTATGCAATTTTGAAATTGTACATACAAACTGTTATTAATTGTCGGTTTGATTTTATCATGAATTGTGTTCCGCTGTAGGGAAATATTGTTGTACATACAAGATTTCTGATTGCTGTGGTTATAAATGATTTCAGATGGACGGAGGACTTATTATAGAGGATAGGCCATTGTGCGGTAAACGCTTGGAAAGTAAGGGCGAATCAATGAGAGCGTCCCTCTGTCTGTCCGAGATCAACCTTAACCCCTCGAACACTGTTTAGAAAGATTATAACGGTCATCACTGCCTTAATTATTAGGCCAATGCCCACTCAAATTCTATTTAACTTAATTCTACCTGAAATGTAAGATTCATTGAGCAAACGCTTAATATCTGTGTTTGCATTCGGTGAAACACCTTTAAACAGGACTATATTTGCAGAGTTTATCTTTATGTGTTTGAAAATAACCCTGAAGTCACTTAAGGTCGCACCCCAACTTTATGCACAATGCCAGTTGCGTGAGCACAAGTGCATGTGCATTTAACTGGCGCGTGCATGAAACCCCATATTCATTGCACAGACTTTTCGTATCATTGGGTATGTTTGATGCGTGCCTTCACTCGAATGCTTATACTTACATGTGGAGGTATTTTATGCAAAGCAGGTGCAATAATTGTCTTGAACACAATTTTCAGTTCCTCTTTGTTGAAAAATTATGTTACCGAATCATAATAATGGAAATACACGCAAAATAGACATAAAAACTATGTAACTTCCTGAATAGAATAAACACAAGGACATTGTATATTATATTTAGTTTAACAAATTTTCCAACTAAATAGAGCGAAACAAACACTAGAAATAAATGAAATAAATGAATTCGATTTGTTGAGATGATGAAAAATAATTCGCGAAAATGTTGTACAAAGAGGAAATGAAAATGGATTTTTCTAACAATTTATAAGCGCGTGACATCGTTAATTTACAAACAGAAAATTATTTTCCAGACAATGAATCAGGTAGGCAAGAAAGAACAAGTCTCAAGTGGGCGACCACTATTCCAACTATACATTGAATGCGTGTGGTAGTTGAACTAGTGTCGTGTTTTCACAACGAACGGGTTTTTCAGAAGAATTGTTACGCCTGTAATTTTCAGGAGCAACGTCGCTGCATCCCAGATAACATGTGCATTGTACTCTCCTACCGAGAATGAAAATGAAACTCTTGTGACGGATCGATCTTTTTTCATCGTGGGCGGTCTTTTATAAATTCAGGTGCAGCATATTATACAATAGTTGATCCATTTATTCATTCATCAAATTCCAATTTATTTCCAGCACTCATAACATTTCATAATAGCTTATTATTTCGTTTATTTAATTGAAAAATCTTTTGTATTTATAATATTGCGCCGGGAGGAAATTATTTTTTAATCTTCGTTCTTTTTTAATCTTTAGATAGCTTTTTGTAAATATTGAAATATGGATAAAAATATGAAAGTATTACGGTACGTTTTATTTGAAAGCGATGAAAGCACAGTTTCAGTTTCGACCCAACGGGAAGTTGCCAATGTTAACGATTGGTTCAATAATGGGCCATGCTTGGTACCCAATGGTTTTTTCTTGGCAAAACAATTGGCAACCATCATTGGACCACCAATGGTTTAAACTTGGGATGATCACGCTACTGCCAATGATCGGTAGCCAAGCATCGGGCCAATATTATTTGCCAAGGAATTGCCAAGGAGACAAAATCGATTTTCAAAAGCTTGATTTTTTATTTGCAGCCAACAAAAAACCAAGGTTTTAAAAATTGGTTTTTTTTAATTATTAATTAAAATTTATTTTTAAAAAATATATTTTTCAAAAATATATTTTTTAAAAATATATATTTTTTTAAATTAATAGAACATATTAATTTAATTTGTCACCTCTGGTAAAACAAAGATGAAAGACTGATAAATTCCCTCACTTTATATTTTACAGTGGAGGGATAACTGTGAATGTCTTTGCGAGAGAGGAGCAGGTACTTATATAGAGCCAGTGAAACAGGTCACAAGCGAGAAAAAATCACTAGCATGCACTCTGGCGGCGCTTGTCGGAACTGTTTTCTGGCGCGCATGCATATCCTGACATTATCGACACAGCGCTTGGCAACCAACGTTGCGCCACTTCCGACAAGCGCCGCCAGAGTGCATGCTAGTGATTTCTTCTCGCTTGTGACCTGTTTCACTGGCTCTATATAAGTACCTGCTCCTCTCTCGCAAAGACATTCACAGTTATCCCTCCACTGTAAAATATAAAGTGAGGGAAT